CTAAGAGAGAACTATCAACAAATTGTAAAAGAGAGGATGTGACAGGAGGAGTTAGATTTTCTATATGATAGCTAAGTAACAAAACAAAATTGAAGACTATAAAAATTATGGTTTGTCTGAGGAATAACGATTTTATAGAGTAATTTACATTTAATTTCCTACTTTTTCGAGGGGTGGTGGATAAAATAGGGATAATGACATGCTAAGAGAAAATATGTTACGTGGGTCCCACTAGTGGAAATTCAGGATTTTGTTTTTTAATATTTCCTTATAGAATTAAGAACTTAAAACTTGTATACTATTAAAATATGGATTATTAGTTTAGATTTTATGCTATTCTAATTGGTATAACATAAACAAAAAGTAGTTTAATAACATTTTGAATGTCTAAAACCTTGTGTCATGCGCAGTAAAGGATACCAGGAGTGATAGGGTTAACAGGTGAAAATTCACAAACACCAAGGTACATGACAAAAGCTTTCCATGTTTCCCAGGCAACAGTATGCAATGTAATCAGGTGAGACCTCCATCTTAAAATGAGACCAACATGATACGGATTTATCAGGATGAAATTTCGAGTCATACTGTCACATATTTCATTAAGCAATTGTATGTAAGAAAATTTAAACAATTAATTCAATATTAATTAATAATTTAATTAACAAAATTAACCAAAACAACACACAAACAAGAAAATTTTATTCTCATATTTCCTTGTGGCATTCTTGCAGTGTTTGTACTGAATGCGTCTTAGAGATAGAAAATGTAAAACAGGTTACAGGTGAATTAAGTTTTCATTGGTGAACATAAACACTTTTATTAGTGGATATTTATCCAATGGCCAGCCTTTCTGTTTAGAGGTCACAGAAAAAATGGCAAATCATTGTGAAGTATCAAAAGTGTATCCTGTTCTGTCGGCAAGATTAATGACACTCCATTAACACTTATTTGATTAGTAACAAGTGAAATAATGAGGCACGAAGAATATCAAGAAATAAGTTGGTTATTGAAGATCAGATAAGAGAAGCAAATTAGCTCATCCTTAGACTTAAAACATCAGTGGATCCAAGCTTACTCAATCCTTTAGTAACAAAGAGTTCATTTTTAGTGAGTAGCATCTATAAATTGCATGACAGTCAACTAGACTACATAACAACAAATTTGTATAAAAGCTGGGGTAAAACCACTTTTAGTCAGACAACCCTGGGAGCCCACTCTAAAGAATTCAAGCCTGTGGTCCAGTACACACGTGAAACAAGTCTGAGGTCCTTGGTCAGTTGTACTTGATTATGCTTACGTATTTAACCCATTCACAATGAGTTCATGTACTTACAGGTATACATAATAAACTCTGAAAGTACTTAATGTAGCTTCACGAAATTTGGCAAGTTTTCAGTAAATGTTACAAGTCTTTTGTAGACAAAAAAATCAGAATTTTTAATCATTTTTGCTATAAATTTATCCACACATTTCTGGAGTCAGAGTGTTGACTACTCCGAGTGCCAAGTTACTTTCATGTTAAGATTAAAAATACTTTTCTTCATCTGAAAATTTTCAGATTTCATTTGCGTAATCTGTTAAATCTCCTGAATAAATATCACACATTTGTTTTTAGAAAACTTTATACTTTATCTGTCATAACTCTATATGGACTCGGTCTATTTGACTGACCTTGTAACCACCATATAAAATTAGGAAATAAATCTAACTTACCTTTTTTTTTCATAGAATAACTGAAAATTGTAACAGAAAACCACAGTTGTTTATCCTAAATAGTTTAAAGTTCATATAGGTAACAAGCTGAGGTACTCGTCCTTTGTCCAAGTTATGAACTTTAAAAAATATGTGGGTAGATGCTACGTTAAATAACACAAAAATCCTAACTTTCACGCAATTTATCTATAACATTACAGTATTTATTATTACCTCACCCAAAATTTTGTTTAAGCTTTAAGAACTCACTATGTGTATACTTAAAATATGATATTCACTGTACAATGGTCAGGGTGACTTTGTACAAAGAGGTAGCGTCAAAAGTAGTGGCAGCAGTAGTGCTTTCTGTTACCCACTTTCAACACCATACTCTTAATCTCCTCAAACTAGTGATCTGTTTGCAAAGGCAGCTGGCTGCATATCCTGGTATTTTAAGTAAATACTATTTATAACAAGTAACTGTCTTCCAATAGTGCCTGTTACAGTTGGAGAGTGAAACAAGTGTTCATGATATTACATATAGTGCCAGTGGATTCCTATACAACTGCGCCTCCATACACTAGATGGATTATGAAAAGCTTGTAGGGAGGAGTGGTGTGCTTGAGACTTGAAACTACACTGCAGGTCTATTGTCAAGATACATAATTGTTATTTAGAGCATGATTCAGTGTCACAACATGATTCTATAATTGTTTTTATATAACTCAACCCTCTGTAGATACTGAGAAACCTTGTGTAATTTTATTTTTTTGTCAATATGGTGTGTGATTTTTTATAACGTTTGCCTTCAGTAATTTGACTTAGAAAACAATTAGCTTTTAATTTTTTTGTAATTTGTGTTTTTAGAGTTTCTGAAACAATTTCCATAAATGCTGCTGTGTTTGCTACTGTTTGTCTTGGGTCTCGTTTACCAAATGAAATTTACACATTTGCATTACTACTTATCGGTGCTGAAGTTTTTGTCCTATCACCTGTACCAAGAAGATATATCCAAGTAAGTCAAAAAGTGATGAGAAAATGACTTTTGCTTAACTTTAACTAAGTTTTACAACTTTCAACATTAAATATAATTTTAGCAGGAGGTAAAACTGGCCAATTAGCTCGATTAATTGATATAATCAAATAATTATGAACATCGATTAGTGTCTTGTAAAATAATCAACTAAGAAAATTAACCAAGTAAGTGAAATATTGCTGTATGGTTTCTTCTTATTATTTTTTGATTAATTCACATTTTTTTCAGCTTTGGGCCAGCATGGCCTAGTGATTAGGATAGCATTATATCTGTTTCTTTGTTTTTGAGTTTGGCAAAGCTACTAACGCTGTCTGTCCATAATTTTGAACTACCATCCAGAAAGAGGGAAAACCAGTCAGCACCAACCACCAACTCTTGGACTACTTTACTGCTAAATAGATTATACATTTACTTTTCTTGTCGGTTACATTCAGTGTTGGACACATTAAAAAAATAATAATATTTTTAGATTATAAGTTAATAAAAAAAAGCACACTTTGTTACTCAGTACATTTCTTTCTCTTGTCTTGCCCTGCAAAACAATTATTGTGACTGTTACTTCCTAATTAACCGTATTTCTTGATATTAATTTATAAATCTATTGTTAAGGCCTTCCATGCTCTGTATGCAAGCAGTTAACCTAATTACATGTGATTATTCAGATAGAAATGAATCTAAGACTTACCCATAAAGCTTGTATGAAAGCTATTTGGTGAACTGTTTTCTGAAATTGGTTTGATAGTTATTTAAAGGAAAATACTTAACATATTATTTAGATATTTTGTTTGTAATTAAGCGCAAAGCTACACAATGGGCTATCTGTGCTCTGCCCACCACGTGTATCGAAACCTGGAATCTAGCGTTGTAAGTCCGCAGACGTACCGCTGTGCCACAGGGGGGCAGATATATTGTTTTTTATAACTTAAAAACTGAAATTATCTATGTCTTTCAAAAGAAAAGAAAAGAGCACTGATACACGCATGTAACAGAGTGAATGTAACGAGACAAATAACTTTTTGGGCAGAAAGTAAAAGAAATATTATTACTCCTCCCTTAAAAATCTTATGCTTTGTAATACCTCATTATTGACGAGAGTAATATTGTTATAGTAATGAGTTACTACTTAAATATTGCATTACCTCTAACTCATGGTTATGCCGTAATCTATAATTTGTGCATTCTTGTAGTGTTAAATAAACTATAAATATGCTTTTTCTACATTGTGAATGTGTTATGTACATCCTACTCTCCTGAATTTGTGTTCGGGTGGAAGGTGTGAAAGACACTGGCACGTCTAGAACCCGCAACTTTCTGATCACTATGTAAAATGGTCACAAAGCAGTATTTATGCCTTTTAACGATGTGGTAAATTACAAATCTATCTATAATAACAAATTACTAATCAATGAATAATAATAAAATCCATGAATTAACAAAACAAAAGACACAAAATATACATTGTACTTTATATCGTATAGGGTATTGTTTTTTGCTAGAGAATCTATAATGCAGTACCTAGAAAGTTCGTGAAAGTTAAGACATTCATAGAATCTGGAAATTTTGTGCAGTATTTAGACTATTCAATGAGTAATCAATGAGTAAGTTAGTTCAGTACCAATTAATACAAATTATTGTATCTGTCATTGAAATTCTGCAATTAATTTTTTGCATTTGTGAGTTACGCATATGCAAGTTTTTGGGAGTTCTGTTAAATGTTATTTGAACCATAATATTTTAATTTAAACTTACAAGTAAACACAACCTGTAAATATTAATTGCTTACTGAAGAAATATAGTAGATCATTGTAATTATGCGTGGACTATATTTTGCACTGTTTTTACCAAATAATCCAAAAGAACCTGCCCAACAATAGAACTCTTTAGAATAATATTATAAAAAAATACTCCGTGATTAATTACATTTAAATAGGGTGTGATTACAATGTAGCCTTTATATCAGACTTCGGAAAAAAAAATTATATTTGCAGTTACACGACAGATTTTAGTAAATAAAGGCCCTTGCTCTAAACATTTCATGGCATTTCTTCCAAATATGTCCAGAGAATGTAACCATATGGCCTTCCAGTGTCACAGCGGTATGTCTGTTGACTTACGACGCTAGAAACCGAGTTTTGATTCCCACTGGTGGGCAGTGCACAGATAGCCCATTGCGTAGCTTTGTGCTTAACTTCAAACAGAGTAACCATATGGCCTTCCAGTGTCACAGCAGTATGTCTGTTGACTTACAACGCTAGAAACCGAGTTTCGATTCCCCCTGGTGGGCAGTGCACAGATAGCCCATTGCATAGCTTTGTGCTTAACTTCAAACAAAGTAACCATATGGTCTTCCAGTGGCACAGCGGTATGTCTGTGGACTTACGACGCTAGAAACCGAGTTTCGATTCCCCCTGGTGGGCAGTGCACAGATAGCCCATTGCGTAGCTTTGTGCTTAACTTCAAACAAAGTAACCATAGTTTAATGATCAGTAAAGTTTTCACCCTTGTTATTTACTGGAGAAAATTTCATAAAGAACCCAGAATGTAACTTTAATCAAAACGAGCTTGAACTTAAGTCAGTTATATTGTTTGCCATAACGTTTGGCAAATAAATTATTCTTTTCAGTTGTTTTTTTTGAGCCACAAATTTTCCAGTCTATTTTATATATATTAATTCTAACTCTATTTCCACAATATTTTGTTGTCTTCTAACACTTATTTTGTATGATTCACAAAGAAAAATAAAATATGTTTCTCTTGTAAACAAAACACTTGTCAATTTTTAATAGATCTTTTTTTTGTCTCTTCTAAAGAATAACTTTATTTTTCCATTTCTTAATTTTCAAACGTTTCACTTATTTTTTTTTTACTTAGTTTTACACAGACCTTAGTTGCCACCGTGTTATGATGTCTTGTTAAGTAGTTTGATCGTTTATTAATGAAACACAGCGTTAGAAATTGAAGCTATTAAGAAAATTTAAAAATTATTGGATAGAGTAAAAATTAGATTTTTTTTCATATCACAGTAGAGTAAATAGTGTTTTGATGACTCAAATCTTTATTTATTAAAAATTATTTTTGTGTTAATCATATTCAAATGATGTGCATGTAGCCAGGTTACGTTTACTTGTAGTACCATGTTACATTCAAAACTTAATAAACCAATTTACTATCAATATATGTCAATGAAATTATCATTATAATGTATGTTGTAATTTGAATCTTTGTTATCTAAGTTTTAATTACTTTCTTTCAAAGGAGATTACAGTCTTGTAGTAACAAATGGAATGAAGCTAATCAGTTCCTTCACGGGAATGTAGACAAAATGGTATAATGACCCGCAAATTAAGTTTCTCAATTTAGTCTCTGAAATTATTTTATTTTGCACACACTAATCTAGAAAGGTATAAGATTGCTTGACTTTTAGGAAACAATCTTTGTTAGGCCTAATGAGGTTCAATGCGTTTCATTATGGCAATGAATATTTTGCATGCATATAGCAGTTCAAGAAAGAAATAGCAATCTTACATATTGTAAAACCTCACAGCAAGAAAATAGTAAATGTCATGAAAAGTATCTTTGTAGCATATGTTGTACTAGAGAATTTAATTCTAATAGGGTTAAATAGGCTTGACTTTTAGAAAACAATCTTTGTTAGGCCTAATGAGGTTCAATGCGTTTCATTATGGCAATGAATATTTTGCATGCATATAGCAGTTCAAGAAAGAAATAGCAATCTTACATATTGTAAAACCTCACAGTAAGAAAATAGTAAATGTCATGAAAAGTATCTTTGTAGCATATGTTGTACTAGAGAATTTAATTCTAATGGGATTAAGTAATCAATTTCAAATAATTGTTTCATGGAATCGTACTGAGTTTCTATCGATAGTTTTCTTCAGCAACAAGCAAGCAACATTATTTTTTTTGTTTTGAAAAATTAAATATTGTTAATGTATTTATTAGGCTACTTGATAATTTAGCATGACATTTTTGTAGCAAATTATAGACATTATTAATCAAAAGTTGTGTATCTCTTTGTGGTTCATTGGTAAGTTTGATGGCTGATAACGAAGGAATTTGAGGGTGATTTCCATAACAGACACTGTAGAGTGTGTAATTTGAGGTAAAACAGATCAGAATTATTAATATAGAATATTAACGTGTACATGGCTATTAAGTTCACTTGAAGACGACTTACTAGGGCAAAATTTGACAAATTAACCATCAATTACTGATTTATTAGAAAAACAATTATGTCTCATAGTTCTGTTACCGTAATGTATAGTAAAACTTATATTTCAGAAATAAAACAAATATATTTTTCTCCCGGCCAGCAAGAGTTTGGGTGGGAAAGTTACGGTCTTAAAGAAATGGTTTTCATAAAAACTGAGGGTCGTGGGATCGAATCCCCCATCACACCAAGCATGCTCACCCTTCCAGGCATTGGAGCACTATAATGTGATGGTCAATCCCACTATTCGTTGTTAAAAGAGTAGCCCAAGAGTTGGCAGTGGTCGGTGATGACTAACTGCCTTTCCTTTAGTCTTTCACTTCAAAATTAGGGATGGCTAGTGCTCATAGCCCTTGATTAGCTATGCATGAAATTCAAAACAAACCAACACTTCATAGAAGCTGATTTAAAAAAAAAGTCAGATATGGTGGCAAATAATGTCATTTCTACAGCCTTTATTTTAAATGTTGTAAAGATATTGCATTATTATTTTTTGCTTCTGGTCAAGCATGTAAATACAGCTTTGAAAATAAGCCTTCTGTCATTTTCTGGTATAACCTTGGTCCAGAATATATCAATAACCAGTAGAATCTTATTTTTGTGTTAAAATTCATGTCTTTTGTATTTACCTAATTTTATTTTTTATTATGTAACAACTATAAATTGGATGTTTTTGTATTTAATCAAGTTTTCAGTAGTACTGAAATTAAAAACAAATTATAAAATCAGAAAATACATGTAGTACCATTGTCAAACTTAACTGTAGCACAGCACATGACTCTGTTGGTGAGTAACTTAAACTATTTCATATTGGTTGAGGAAAAAATGTGACACATAAGTAGAATAATATAATTCTCTTTTATTTTTTCCTTTTAGGAAAACTGTCCATTTGGTCAGGTGGTTTTGACAGTTTTACTGACTTGTATTACCATGTTGCTTATGGGTAGTTTTGAAACACCATATTTATTATGTACAACGATAGTCTTGGTATGTGTAAACTTTCTGTGTCCACTCTATTTTGTCTACTGCCAAGCACATAAAAGGTTAGATATTTCAAACTTTTTACTATTTTTACTTATCTTTCTAGCAACACATAGAGTATTTTAGGTGGGCATCTGCAGTTCACTTTCACCCTCGAAACACATTTATTTCTTTATTCAAGTATATACTGTGTCTCTTTGCCCCCCCCCCCCAAAAAAACAACAACAAAATTTCTGTGGACGTCCATGGGACTTGTAAGGATTTGTTATGTAGAAATATTAACTCTTTTAACCTCCCTAAGGTAGAAAAAAAACAACTGACCGTACATCACTATTTACCTTAGTACTGAAAATAACAAAATAGTAATGAAAACCATGCTTTTAACTGCATTGTTGTCATATTTTTCATTAAATTGAATCAATAGTTGTTATCTGCAATAGTAAATTAAAAACCCTATGGAGCCTGGGTTTTATAGTAACTCCATGTATAATGTAAACATCCCCTCCTTGTTTCTTCCAAAGCAGTGATGTTAATGTAGCCTTTTCTTCAAGTTGTTCAATACAGATTTCTCCAATAATGGGTGAGGGGGGGGGGG